AACTCGCCCAAACAGCACGAGGAGGAGGCTGTACCACAGGCCAGGTACCGGGCCTTGATGGTGATGGAGCTACCTGAACTCGCCCAAACAGCACGTCCAGGCTCTGCTGAATGTCTTGCAAAAGTGTCGTGTGATAGTCCTGCATTTCTATTACATCTAGCAGGGCGGTTCTCACGACCTTCACATCATCATCCATATGAGTCAGGTCCATCTCCTCTAACTCTCTCAGGTCCGCTTGTCTTCGCTGCATCCTTGACTTACGTCAGAGCATCCTCTCCTTCTCTGCCTTTATCTTTCCTAACGCCTTCTGTAGTTGTGCCTCTTGAGCATCTGCTCTCCGTATGGCGACCTCCTCAGGAGTCAACACCAACTGCTGGCTTACCATGACACCAGCAGATTGCCTCAGGGTCGATGCAATCATTGCCCTTACAGTCCTTGAACTACTGACCTGGGAGCTTTGCTGCGCAGCTGTGGCCATGGTTGTTGAAGCAACGACTTCGCTTGCAAACGCCCTGCTTGCCTCTGCTGCCCTAGCTCTCCGCAGCTGCAGCTGTCTTTCCCTAAGCTGGCGGAACAGAAGCCTGTCACCCTCGGGTCCTAATGCCACGTAGGCCAATCGGCGCCTTGCCAATCGCAGGTTCCTATCGTCCTCGATAGTGTTCTCCCAGTCACTCATATGCTACAGCACTGCACACAATCTGCACTAGGTCACACTCGATGCCTACCGCAGCGTACTGCATAGACCGGTTTAAAATAAATAAAATAATTAATCGGTGGCTATGTCAAAGTCTACACATTTGCGCCCAACAGGTAAGTCCAGATTCCTACAAACGAAACTATTTTTATTTGACTAGTCCGCAAACAGAAAGCAGATAAGGAGAAACTGTTCTACCTATGCTGTCTGTTAGATGTCAATGGTTGTAGATCTAACTAATCAAAGATAAAAATAGAATCATTTGTGGGGCTGTTGGCAGGATGGAATTTTTCCCGAACTTATCACCTGAAATCTGCCCTCCCCTCAATTCTTCCTGATTGTCTCTTCACGTCAGCGTTCCTGAGCAATCCAGATAGCATGCGTGTCTAAAGGTGTGCACACGGCCCACCCCTGTGCCCCGAGTCAATGCTGGGCCGGCCAGCCCTGCACTATGTTTACCCTCGCGTGCAGCGAGCCTTACACTGACCGATTGGCTGATCAAGAGGCGTTTAAGGACGGCCCCCGAAGTCCTCAGGAATTATTTAACGTCGCAGACAGGACGACAATCACAGCCAATGGAAGGTAACCCCGCCGGTACTTATTTATAGACGTCCGGAACTCGTCTCGCCTGTAGGGCTGGCCTGCCCCTCATAACCCATTTCACAGCGCAGCGAGCAGACAAAGGACAAAGCAGCAAAGCATGCATGCTCTACTCCCAGTGGGTTGGCATGGTGACCGTGACCCAGTGCTTCGTCCGGGGCCCTTCAGATAAATCTGCCTTCTCCTTCCAGATGCTCCACGTGAACAATGCCGACTCTCAAGGTTGAGCGCACTCGACTCCTCACATGAGAGGACTCTCAAGACAGAACACACATCCTCATGGTAAGAAGTGTCGAAGAGGGTAGACAAGGTTAAGAGCATCGTACCTCAAAATAGCTGCCCCCAACCATAGATATTCTCACCAGATGACCCGACGTCGATTGTCATGACCAATCGCTGCTTCGGCACAACCAGCATTACGTCACCGTTCCACCTCAGCATCAATCGCACATCGAATAGTTCTCATCACACTGCGAAACACCCATATACCACCTCGTAGCCTTCCTGGCGATACCCCTCTCCACCTGGGTCGCCTGCTTGCCTTCGCCCTCCTCACTACACACTCCCTACGGACACTCACCCAGCAAACCGCATGCATGTACCGCATAGGCAGAAGACAAGCGCCAGATTAGCGCAACGTACCACAGCTCCGATACCGAAATGCAAGGAAAACGAGCAATAGCGAATTCCACAAAACCAAGCAGCATCATACACACGAAACCAGATAGTCGTGACCTCAAACCAAAAGCAGAATTTCAACTCGAGTTCCACCAAATAAGAGCACAGCAAAAGCTGACAATGTTGGAATAGTCTCATCATCATCAACAAAGAACCAATGTCGACATCCTATCTGGCGCTCTATGCCCAGACTACAAATGGAAGATCCTATCTAGCCTATCTACAATGCTGCTGGTGATGTCAACAGCTCCCCGAAGTACGAGCAGAACTCGGCAAATGTCGTTCGCCTCAAGCACCAGGTATGTCTCTCGGATCACTCACAACCCCGATCCTGCACTCACAAATGCCACATGCACCCAAGGACCACCATGCGCCCCATCCAGCTTAGCGCAGGGCAGCTCGGCTATGGCTGCCTGCTCTTCCTGCTCGCCAGTGAGCGCGTGGGTGCTGGCCAGCGATTAGCGCAGCAGCGCTTGCACAGCATGCAGCCAGTGCCCGAATGCCGAATGCGAGGGCAGGCACTTTCCTAAATGGAAGTGGCCTGCCTGCTGCATGCGGCCTGGCTGCACTGGGCCCCGGCCCAGAAGCTTCCGGTAGGCCCCGAAAAGCTGAGCCCCAGTCCAAACGAATCAGGCCCAGGGCCTATGGCGGTTACCCGTGTCCAACTGCCCGCAGCCTGTGTTGGGTCCATGTTGCGTATCTCGCCCAGGGCCTGTCTCAGATACATTTGATAAAGGCAGCCAGGGCCTGGGCGCTCTTAGCCAACTGGTGCTGCGCAACTGCCTGAATTTCCCCAGTTGCGTGGTAGTCCAAAACAGGCCTCTCGTCCTTGGTCGGGCCTGCCTTCACTTAGGGCGGCCGACCTTGCTGAAAACAGGGCCCGTAAGGGCTCGTCGAGGCCTTGAGCCTCGCACAGGGGTTATATTTGAATGTTCCATGGGCAGAGTGCCTTGAAGAGGTAGTATACAAGGGTTTTAGAAGGCGGGGAAGGGGGTATACATGGGTTTTGAAGAGGGTTGAATGGTGTTTCGACTCCCGAGGGGTATATTTTGGCTTTAGTTTTCATTTTTATTTTTAATTTCCGAGTTTATAAGGAATTCTGAAGTGACCCTCAGCCAAAAGTTGGTCGCATTCCAATCCTGGAACACTTCTTTTTTTTTTTGGAATTTTGGGGCCTCACCGAAGTTACTACAAATTTACTGAATATAACACCCTCGTGTTATAAACGAATATAACGCCCGGCGGGCAGGGCGTTATATTCGTACACAACGCCTGGGCGTTATTTTTGGGTGAAGACGGTAGCGCAGGGGCCATGCTAATCTTATCTGTATCGTTCCAGTTTTAACAGATGTCCCGAAAGACAGGAAGAAGGGCTTTTCTTTTTTTAAGAAAAAACTTCAAAAAAGAAAAAAAAAAAGGAAAAGGAACCAGACTGTTGTGCCCCAGAAGAGAACAGAACGAGGACAATAACTCCCTTTAAGTTCTATTCTAGGTTGTTTTTTTTTGCATGGCCGAGCACCCAAGCAAGTTGCCCGGGGGGGGCACCTGCCCGGGGTACCCGGGCGAGTAGAAAAGTAGGTGATTTTTATTTATTTATTTTTTGGTCTGTGGAAGTCTTCTGCGCATGCAGAGAGGACCAAGTATCCGGGATCTTTTCTTTTTTTTAGTGTTGGCTGTGAAGGGGGGGGAAGGGGGGTATAAATTGGCTTCTGAGGGGCTAAAGAGATTTAAATGGGGGTGGCTTAGTCTAAGTTTGTTATTTTCTTTCTTATCGTTTATTCAGTGAGGAATTCATGTGACCCTCTGCAAAAAGTTGTTTTCATTGCAAATCTATGCAACATTTTTTTCCCGGAATTTTTGAATTATTTAAATTTGTTTTTAGTGCTTTTTACTTTTTTTTTTTGCGCTGGAGCTTGCCGGAACCCAGCCCAGGGGTCGTGCCCAGCCGGAATTTGAAAAGTTGAAACCTGATCACTTACCGGAGAAGGAATCAGAGACCATCCTCCAAGCCAGCGGCTCACTGATCCAGCCTGAGATGTAATTCCCTGTGCCGGACGATCTGATAATCTTCCAACGCGTTTGCACCTTGGTTGGACCGCATTACTGTCGTGCCTATTATCGACCCCCGTTTCAATAGCTGCTTCATTCTGCGCATCTCTGTCCATTTCTTCTGCACATGTCTCACTTTTAGCTCCTAAATTCCCGCACGTTTCAACTGCTTCGTTCTGTGCACCTCTGTCCATTTCTTCTGCACATGTCTCATTGTCAGGACGAAATGTGTCCTCAATGCCACCCGACATGCCTGAATCCATTTGGTTATCTGTGCTTATTCCCGCCACATCATTCCGTCTCACACTGATTTCACGAGGCATTCTTCTTCCAATTTCCTGCTCTGGAAACTTTCTCCTGCGACCAGCAAATGCGTCCTCTGTGTCAGGACTCAAGCCCAAACTCATCTGGTCATACCTACCCATCCGTCCCATGCCGTCCACTCTCGTAATGGCTTCACTGAGCACCTGGTTTCCAGTAGTACGCATCACAGTCTCCTGGTTGCAGCCGGAAAACGAGCCCATGTCGACACATTGACTCATCATAATCTGTGCATCCTTATCTGCTGCTGCCTTGTCCGCTCTCTCAATCTCTTCAGCATGTGTCTTTCTCCCTCTTTTCTCTACCAGGAGATCTCTCCCAGGGCCAGGGGATATGTCCATATCAACATACGTGTCTGAACTCGTCTGTAAACAGGTCAAGACTCGAGACAGTTTCGGCAGACAATCAAAATCCTCAACTCTCCAAGAGAAGTCATTTCTTCACCAAAGGAAAAAAACGGTAAAGATTGCATAACCAACAGGTACATCACGCGTATCTTTTTTCTTTTTTTTGACATCACAGATATCATGAGCATAAATTCCAAAAAGCACAGGAGCAAATTCCCATAAACAGTCCCTGAAAAGCCCCTTTCAGGAGCTCAGATGACATACAGTGCATTGCATCTTCAGCTGTGTTTGCTTAAATCTCTCTCTCTCTCTCTCTCTCTCTCTCTCTCTCTCTCTCTCTCTCTCTCTCTCTCTCTCTCTCTCTCTCTCTCTCTC